GACGCGGCTCATATGTATTCCTCACACAATGCTTCGCTTTTTAGGCTTTTTAAAAGCTTTTACCATTCTTGCTTGACAGATGATATCAAATATACGCATCTTTTTAATTTCTGTGATGTTGGCATGTTGCTCGTGATTGAATAACTAGCTGTTGCTATTTACTATTCAGATAACGTACGTCAGGTTAGTGATTCTACTCAGGTGACCGACCGTTCGTGTCTCCAATGAAGCAAGACATAATAAAACGACAATGTGCCGCGTGCCAAATCCAGGTTTCTAGTTTAGAGGTCGAATTCACAGCAAGATTTTAAACATTCTGTATTTGCCATAAAGTCAAAAAAAAAGTTCACATCTAATTGATTAGATTCCTCTGTTGTGAAAGAAATAAAAACATATTCAAATTGTAACAACAGACTTCAAAATGTCAACGAAATATACAAAGAATTCATGACAGAAGATCATAAACTTTTACTTTTAGATTGTATAAAAGGAAAGTTATAACGGCAACTCTTAGGTAACATAAAGGTCTTTAGAGTTAACTTCGTGCACTTGTATGGCGGAAGTTAACTGACTCCTGGGAAGTAATTACGAAACTACAACGATTAATTGCATTAGGGGTTTTATCTTCAATATGCAGCACATTTTCTTGCAAAATTCCAGCGTTATTGTCACTTTAAACAATCTGAGACAAATTCTTTGAAGTCAATATCTCTACGTTAGTTATGTAGTTCTGGCATAGAAAATCATACATTATAATGTTAGGTGCTGTTGCATTGTCAGTGATAAGCTAAATCATTCCCGAAATACGTGCACGTTAATGAGAGGCAGATGGATGACTTGAACAACTCAGGCCGGCGACAACTAAAGACTGAAACGAATATCCTGCAAATCATCTGCCGATGCCTGGACTGAAACAGAGGGAAGATGCCCTACAACCTAGGCAGTGACGACATGGAAGGATACTTATTAACGTGCGTTAGCCCTTATTACAAAGTGAGGGCTTGAAAAGCAGGTGCTTTGGCAACAGCTCTTTTCAGGGCTACCCACTTCATTATTGCCTCAAGTGACTGTACGTCTAGGTCCCATTTGTCTTTATACAGTGTTCAAAGATAATATTCTAGGGACATTGCATGGAGGTGAATTATCACTATTAAAATGCTTCAAAATAACTCCAATGTTGACTTGTCCGGGGTCCAAAACGAAAGCTTTCAACTGGCCAATGTTTCGTTATTTAATAACTTTTTTGTGGAATGTCTTTTCAGTTAATGCATATTAAATATTGAACATAAGATATATACAGAAATCAGATGGGTTAGCCAGTATGTTGTTTCGACTCTAAAGGAGGAAAATCTAAAACTATTACTTCGAAAATCTAAACGTTTTTATTTTTACAAAATTATGTTACAATAACATGACATTGCATAAGCTTGCATACTACTCTTACAAATACATGTATGTGAATTTACAGCATTTAAATAAAAATACAAAACAATTAATTTAATGTTTTATAAACAACATAATTTACTAAGTAGACACTATGTTTTTGTTTGAATTTCTAAGAAAAAACACAAAAAGAACAACAGCAACAACAACTACAAAAAACTTATCATAATTTTAAAGTGTATAAAGCTATATATCTGTTGCACAAATTTTGTATTTTTTAGATATTTCTTTTTGTATTGATTTTTTTTCTAATCAAATTTATATATGAGCCACGTCATGATAAAACCAACATAGTGCGTTTGCGACCAGTATGGATCCAGACCAGTCTGCACATCCGCGCAGTCTGATCAGGTTTCATGCTTTTCGCTTACAAACCCTATAACAAATAGAGAAACTGATAGAGAACAGCATGGATCCTGATCAGACTGCGCAGAGGCGCAGGCTGGTCTGGATCCATGCTCGTTGCAAACGCACTATGTTGGTTTTGTCGTGTGGCTCATATATGTTTGTATATTTCCTGAAGAAAAAATTGCGCATGCAGGAAGAGATTGATAGTATAGAACATTTTATTCTGTTTAAGGAAAATATCTTTGTGTGTAAGATAACAGAGACAATCTATGTTACAATTATTTCGAGAATTAACCATACTAATATAGGCGCAACATAATTTAACTGTTTATAAAGTTTATTAAAACAATTCATAAGATATAGCTTTATACCCTATAAATATACACGCATTATACATATTGTAACTGATAAAATAATGTACACTGACATAATAAGCGGTTGGTTGAATAAGATCAATGTTTACCATGCATGCAATATATTTAACTGCGCATGGTGAGAAATAAGGAACAGAAAAACTTATAGGAATGTGATATTTGTCAATCATTTTCATTTTATTTCATATTGAGTCACCGACCATGAAACTCCCGCTTTGATAATTGTTGGATCATGTGCAATGAAATTGTCATGTGAAACAAATTGAATATAAATATAGTTAAACAGACAACATGTTTGTATGTCATTTGCTATGATTCGGATTTATAAGAAAATTTGAAAGTTTAGATAGTGAGACAGTCAAACCAATGGATGTTTCACTTGTACTGAGTGGTATTTTACTTACTTTAATAACATTACTTGTGTTGTCATGGTGGACAAAATGGTTCAGTAAAAAAAGGTATCCACATGGCCCATGGGGTTTTCCTATTCTGGGGCACCTGCCTTTATTAGGAGAAAAACCGGAGTTAAAGTATTTGCAGTGGCGGAGAAAGTACGGAGATATTTTCAGTATCCGCTTTGGTAGTTGGGATACGATAATTGTAAATGGATATGGAGCCATTAAAGACGCAGCGGAACGGAAGGACGATGCCTTTTCCGGGAGAAATATATAAATATAATATAATGAAGGTCATATTTACATAAACTCATTATCCGAACAAATCAAAAAATGTAGAGATATATGTCAATGGTAGTTTATCAAATTTGCATTGATATTTCCCACTTACCTGGCAATACACGTACATGTATAGAGGTCATTTCTTAATTTTTGTGTAAGATAAATTCATTTATATTGAAAGAGCTTCAAAACAGTATTCTCACGAGTGTCGTATAATTGTTATTGAAAAAGTCAAAAGCATTGAAATAATAAATTGAAAATTTACTCTCCGTCGACATACATATACCGGTAATGTTTGCAATGAACATTTTTGATATTTTTCATGAGGGCGGACCTATCAAAAATACGCGGAAACATGCATATCATATTCAACATTGACATATTTAACCAGTTTTCATTTTATTTTTTGTCCACTATTATGTTGTAAATACAATGCCAACTCAATATTCTATTTAATTGCGTATGCAAAATGTCTGCTCATTACCAACAATCCTATATACTTCAAGACCCCGTCGGGCCAGGCAAAGTAAGCATAAACATCACTGTAGAGTATGTAACAGCGATTCCCGCCAATGTAGAGTCAGACTTCGTTGACCTGATAAACAACCAAACATCAGGCCTGCAGTGCTTTGATTCTGCCGATTGTCAGACAAATCAAGATATAGATGAGTCAACTTTAACGATTGTGTTTAATATTCCTACATCTCAGGGACCGGACATTGACTATAGTGACTATATATCGAGTGGAATACGTAAGTTTTACACTAAAAATATTTTTGTATTCTGTTTTATGCGTTTTATGTCTGTTCCGATACTTTTTTAGTATCTTTTTACAGATTTTTTTTTTGAATTGTTAGATATAATTGTTATGTAAATTTATTTTCTTCGACTCTTTACATAACTTGTAATGGTAATCAGTTGAGAGTTTCAAAGATTGTGGAGAAATGAGAAATGTATCAAATGATGCGACTGACCCCCTAGAGCAAATGATATTATACCTATTTATAGAAAAGACAAATTAGAAAATGTACAGGTCTACGCATGCGCAATTAGGCAAGCAATGACAATGCCATTTGACTGAAAATTGATAATATATGTAAGTTTTAATAATATTTAAGTGATTACTCAATACTACTTTAAACCACATTGGTTTTCTTATGTTTACAAACAGCAAATGGTGCTTTACAAGAGGTAATAGACGCTTTAAATCGTCTGGAACAAACTGCCCAATATATTCAAAACAATACACATGAGTTGTTTGACGTCACTATTGACGGTGTGACGTACACTGTTGCAGACGACAGTTTAAACATTGACGCAGGAGTCACATGCAATAACGGATTCGCACCTTATGATGGCATTTGTGGTATAATTATACTAAAAAATCATTCTATAGCTTACATTTCATGGTGTGTAGAATAATTAATATATATGCGGTAAAATGTAAATTAGTTTATTTCATATACTATAACTAACATTCTGTCATATTATTACTTGATAACTCTGAAAATAATAGTTCAAACTTTTCATGAAATATCAATTTGAATTTTATTTATGTGATATTGTAGTTGCATGTCCACCGGGCACACATTCTATCGATGATGTTTGTACCTTTTGTGAGAAGGGAAAATATCAGTCGAACGCTGGGCAAACGACATGTATATCATGTCCGGCTGGGCAGACGACAAATGCTATAGGCTCAACAGATAGCTCTCAATGTATAGGTAATGTATTTTACAATAAGAATAAGCAGAACCACCAACCTTTGTTAGATTTAATTGAGCCGCGCCATGACAAAATCAACATAATGCGTTTGCGACCAGCATGGACCCAGACCAGCCTGCGCATTCGCGCAGTCTGATCAGGCTCCATGCTGTTCGCTTACAAACCCTATAACAAGTAGAGAAACTGACAGCGAGCAGCATGGACCCTGATCAGAATGCGCGAATGCGCAGGCTGGTCTGGATCCATGCTGGTCGCAAACCCATTATGTTGGTTTTGTCATGGCGCGACTCAATTGATGTATAGGTATTGTTTCGTACAATAAGAAAGAGAAAAACAACCTAACTTTGATAGATTTAATACAAGCTGTAAAATTAATTCCAGAAATATTGTTTCTGGTCTGTTTTGTTTAAAAAATTAGTACATTTTCAAAGATATTTACATATATGATTCTTAGTTATGAAAAAGTAATGAACTTCTCTTGTGGAGTTATAAAAGATTAATGAACTGCAAGACGAAAGGACCGCGGACGGTAGCTTGCACTCTCCTATACCGTCCTTGAACAGCCCCAATCAAACAAAGCCTGCAATATTTTTTAATTTTGCCGTTTTAGTTTGAGACGTTTTTTAGGGATTTTATCATTGCGTTTTTTTTTTGTTGTTTTTTAAAAAAATTTTTCTCTGTTGAAAATAATAAAAGAGCGCTTGCCATTGAGTTTAAATTCACATTCTTATAATTTTATATACAATTTAAAGAAATGGCCCATAATTGTCGGATGTGCTTGAAAAAAGACTATCTGGTGTGCTGATTGTATAATTTTTTTATTTACTTGACCAATTAAGAAGTAACCACAACCTCTACATCGACTACGACTGAAAACATAACAACGACTGAAAGCATAACAACGACTGAAAGCATAACAACGCCTGAAAGCATAACAACGACGGAAAGAATAACAACGACTGAAAGCATAACAACGCCTGAAAGCATAACAACAACTGAAAACATAACAACGACTGCAAACATAACAACGCCTGAAAGCATAACAACGCCTGAAAGCATAACAACGACTGCAAACATAACAACGACTGAAAACATAACAACGAATGAAAGCATAACAACGCCTGAAAGCATAACAACGCCTGAAAGCATAATTACGACTACAAACATAACAACGACTGCAAACATAACAACGACTGAAAGCATAACAACTCCTGAAAGCATAACAACGACTGCAAACATAACAACGACTGAAAACATAACAACGACTGCAAACATAACAACGACTGAAAGCATAACAACGACTGAAAGCATAACAACGACTGCAAACATAACAACGACTGAAAACATAACAACGACTGAAAGCATAACAACGACTGAAAGCATAACAACGACTGAAAGCATAACAACGCCTGAAAGCATAATTACGACTGCAAACATAACAACGACTGAAAACATAACAACGACTGCAAACATAACAACGACTGAAAGCATAACAACGCCTGAAAGCATAACAACGACTGCAAACATAACAACGACTGAAAGCATAACAACGACTGAAAACATTACAACGCCTGAAAGCATAACAACGCCCGAAAGCATAACAACGACTGAAAACATAACAACGCCTGAAAGCATAACAACGCCTGAAAGCATAACAACGACTGCAAACATAACTACGACTGAAAGCATAACAACGACTGAAAACATTACAACGCCTGAAAGCATAACAACGCCCGAAAGCATAACAACGACTGAAAACATAACAACGCCTGAAAGCATAACAACGACTGAAAGCATAACTACGACTGAAAGCATAACAACGACAACACGTCCGGTCAATCTTCCCAGTGGTGAGTACTGTACTATAGTTCTGTTTATTTGGATGCCGCCTGTAACATTTTTTGTGTCTCGGAAATAAACCCACAAAGCATCAAAACCATAAAAGAATCATTCACAGCGATTTTGGGGTATTGTGTTTTTCGCTTCATATAGTTTAGTTAAAATATCAATGAATAATTGGAAGATTTTAGTTTTTGTATGTTTTTTTGTGATTGAGGCTTCACATTGTTTTGTAAAAATGCAACGGATTATTAGAAATCTGCACCCCGCAGAGAGAAAATACAACATGGTATAAATCAGCCACCAATAGAAAACAGAAAATGACCTGACCAAAATGTTATGTCCGTTCGTTCGACTTAAGGCATTGCATTTATGAATGATAAACAACCTATTTTGTCTAGAAATTATAATAATACTCTTCTTTTCAGGTGACGATATCGTGACAATAGCGATTATCATATCAGTGATAGCTTTAGTTATAATAGCTGCGATAGTCCTCGTTTGGTACAGGAAATGCAGGTATTTGATTGTGTGTGTGTGTGTGTGTGTGTGTGTGTGTGTGTGTGTGTGTTGGTGTGTGTGCGTGTGTGTGCGTGTGCGTGCGTGTTGGTGTGTGTGTGTGCGTGTGCGCGTACGCGTGTGCGTATGTGTGTGCGTGTACGTGTGTGTGTGAAAAAAATAACGTTTTTGCTGGAGAAACAAATTACGTTTTTACTGGAAAACTAAACAAAGATAATAAATACTGCTTAAACACTGCTTCTCTCTGACATTTTAATGAAAATAGAAACCTCTCGGTGTTTTAAACTGTAAGATTTTTTCTTTGGTCAATTAATGCATTACATCTGTGAATCTGTGAATTTATGACTTCGTTTCGATTCAGAGAATATTTTAAATACATGAAAAAATGTTGATGGAAAAATGAAAAACCATTTGATCTTTTCTGAGTTTATTACATTTTTTTATTATTTTTTTTCAGACGACCAACGACAACGATAGTAGATTGCTCAACCGTAAACATAAGAATTGAAACAGCGAAAACACGGTATACAAGAAGTGATCGCGGGACTCAACCAATGACAGAATTAGATGCTGACAACTTTCAGAGAGATAGTGATACCTGTCAAACGCCTGGACAACATAATTCACAATATGACAGAATACCGTCTGCTACCAACATGTATATTACGCCCGACAACATAAGTTTAAGATGCTATAGCCCTCCTCCGCCTTATGAAGCAGATTTACCGGAATATACAGAAAAAGATATGACATCTGTTGACGACACATATGACGTAATTAATGACAATCCCCCGATAACAAAGCTATGAGTGAACTTTTTAAAGATTTCAGACCCGAATGAGTGTGGATGCTAGCCGTTATACGTGTATTGGTAGTTTCTCATATGATGTCGTCAAAGTAGAAAACTGTCGGAGGAAAGCTTTCGGTTGTTTACGCTTTATTCCGAAGTTTGCCGATATTTACTGATTTATTAGGGTCTGTAAATCTAACTTGAACATTCCATATTTGACTACGTGATATACTGTTTATTCAAATTAGTTCACATTGTTTACCAAGATACTAACATAAAGTGCTTCCCTCAGCATTGTGTCACACTTGGTTTTGTTCTTTGTCAACTGGCAACTTGTATACTGTAAATGTAGAAACAAAATAACGCGGTTCTATGAAGTACTATAACAAATAGAAGGTGACTATGAACGACATTCGATAAACTATCGAGTTTTGTTCTTCTATGAATATGAACACACATGATTTTTAAAAAATACAGCGTTTTCATTGGATGACAAATAAAGCTGGACCCTAAACATTTATTAAGGTAATTTTAGCAAAAGTATTATTCGGTTGCTGCCTTGACATGTCTTTACAGTCAATAAAATCCATATCTTGATTATTTAAAGTGTCAGTTCAATCTTAAGTTTATTGGTTTACATTTTAAAATCAACATGAGCCGTGTCACAACAAAACGAACATAATGGGTTTGCGACCAGCATGGATCCAGACCAGTCTGCAGTCTGATCAGGATCCATGTTGTTCGCTATCAGTTTCTCTACTTGTAATAGAGTTGGTAAGCGAACAGCATTGATCCTGATCAGACTGCGCGGATGCGCAGGCTGGTCTGGATCCATGCTGGTCGCAAATCCATTATGTTCGTTTTGTCGTGACGCGGCTCATATGTATTCCTCACACAATGCTTCGCTTTTTAGGCTTTTTAAAAGCTTTTACCATTCTTGCTTGACAGATGATATCAAATATACGCATCTTTTTAATTTCTGTGATGTTGGCATGTTGCTCGTGATTGAATAACTAGCTGTTGCTATTTACTATTCAGATAACGTACGTCAGGTTAGTGATTCTACTCAGGTGACCGACCGTTCGTGTCTCCAATGAAGCAAGACATAATAAAACGACAATGTGCCGCGTGCCAAATCCAGGTTTCTAGTTTAGAGGTCAAATTCACAGCAAGATTTTGAACATTCTGTATTTGCCATAAAGTCAAAAAAAAAGTTCACATCTAATTGATTAGATTCCTCTGGTGTGACAGAAATAAAAACATATTCAAATTGTAACAACAGACTTCAAAATGTCAACGAAATATACAAAGAATTCATGACAGAAGATCATAAACTTTTACTTTTAGATTGTATAAAAGGAAAGTTATAACGGCAACTCTTAGGTAACATAAAGGTCTTTAGAGTTAACTTCGTGCACTTGTATGGCGGAAGTTAACTGACTCCTGGGAAGTAATTACGAAACTACAACGATTAATTGCATTAGGGGTTTTATCTTCAATATGCAGCACATTTTCTTGCAAAATTCCAGCGTTATTGTCACTTTAAACAATCTGAGACAAATTCTTTGAAGTCAATATCTCTACGTTAGTTATGTAGTTCTGGCATAGAAAATCATACATTATAATGTTAGGTGCTGTGGCATTGTCAGTGATAAGCTAAATCATTCCCGAAATACGTGCACGTTAATGAGAGGCAGATGGATGACTTGAACAACTCAGGCCGGCGACAACTAAAGACTGAAACGAATATCCTGCAAATCATCTGCCGATGCCTGGACTGAAACAGAGGGAAGATGCCCTACAACCTAGGCAGTGACGACATGGAAGGATACTAATTAACGTGCGTTAGCCCTTATTACAAAGTGAGGGCTTGAAAAGCAGGTACTTTGGCAACAGCTCTTTTCAGGGCTACCCACTTCATTATTGCCTCAAGTGACTGTACGTCCTAGGTCCCATTTGTCTTTATACAGTGTTCAAAGATAATATTCTAGGGACATTGCATGGAGGTGAATTATCACTATTAAAATGCTTCAAAATAACTCCAATGTTGACTTGTCCGGGGTCCAAAACGAAAGCTTTCAACTGGCCAATGTTTCGTTATTTAATAACTTTTTTGTGGAATGTCTTTTCAGTTAATGCATATTAAATATTGAACATAAGATATATACAGAAATCAGATGGGTTAGCCAGTATGTTGTTTCGACTCTAAAGGAGGAAAATCTAAAACTATTACTTCGAAAATCTAAACGTTTTTATTTTTACAAAATTATGTTACAATAACATGACATTGCATAAGCTTGCATACTACTCTTACAAATACATGTATGTGAATTTACAGCATTTAAATAAAAATACAAAACAATTAATTTAATGTTTTATAAACAACATAATTTACTAAGTAGACACTATGTTTTTGTTTGAATTTCTAAGAAAAAACACAAAAAGAACAACAGCAACAACAACTACAAAAAACTTATCATAATTTTAAAGTGTATAAAGCTATATATCTGTTGCACAAATTTTGTATTTTTTAGATATTTTTTTTTGTATTGATTTTTTTTCTAATCAAATTTATATATGAGCCACGTCATGATAAAACCAACATAGTGCGTTTGCGACCAGTATGGATCCAGACCAGTCTGCACATCCGCGCAGTCTGATCAGGTTTCATGCTTTTCGCTTACAAACCCTATAACAAATAGAGAAACTGATAGAGAACAGCATGGATCCTGATCAGACTGCGCAGAGGCGCAGGCTGGTCTGGATCCATGCTCGTTGCAAACGCACTATGTTGGTTTTGTCGTGTGGCTCATATATGTTTGTATATTTCCTGAAGAAAAAATTGCGCATGCAGGAAGAGATTGATAGTATAGAACATTTTATTCTGTTTAAGGAAAATATTTTGTGTGTAAGATAACAGAGACAATCTATGTTACAATTATTTCGAGAATTAACCATACTAATATAGGCGCAACATAATTTAACTGTTTATAAAGTTTATTAAAACAATTCATAAGATATAGCTTTATACCCTATAAAATATACACGCATTATACATATTGTAACTGATAAAATAATGTACACTGACATAATAAGCGGTGGTTGAATAAGATCAATGTTTACCATGCATGCAATATATTAACTGCGCATGGTGAGAAATAAGGAACAGAAAAACTTATAGGAATGTGATATTTGTCAATCATTTTCATTTTATTTCATATTTGAGTCACCGACCATGAAACTCCCGCTTTGATAATTGTTGGATCATGTGCAATGAAATTGTCATGTGAAACAAAATTGAATATAAATATAGTTAAACAGACAACATGTTTGTATGTCATTTGCTATGATTCGGATTTATAAGAAAATTTGAAAGTTTAGATAGTGAGACAGTCAAACCAATGGATGTTTTCACTTGTACTGAGTGGTATTTTACTTACTTTAATAACATTACTTGTGTTGTCATGGTGGACAAAATGGTTCAGTAAAAAAAGGTATCCACATGGCCCATGGGGTTTTCCTATTCTGGGGCACCTGCCTTTATTAGGAGAAAAACCGGAGTTAAAGTATTTGCAGTGGCGGGGAAAGTACGGAGATATTTTCAGTATCCGCTTTGGTAGTTGGGATACGATAATTGTAAATGGATATGGAGCCATTAAAGACGCAGCGGAACGGAAGGACGATGCCTTTTCCGGGAGACCCGAATTCGTTTCACAAATTGCTATCAAAGAAGCATTTAATGGTTTAGAAGCTGTAAGTTTTTGTAACTATTCTCCGACGTATCTTCAAGTCAGAAAACGGACAACAACGGCCGTACGAACATATATCAATAAGTGCGATTATCCTCCGAATGAACTATTTCGGGAAGAAGCTGAAAAATTAACAGAAAAACTATTGAGATATCCATGTGATGAGCCTGTATCTTTAGATTTAGATATTCAGTTGGCTGTAATAGGTACGTTGTATCAGATGCTTTACGGCAGAGGAAAAGAAGATGAAATAAAACTACACTTGAACTTAATCATTGAATCATCGGACACGTTTACAAAATTTGTCGAGTCTGGAAATGTAGTTGATGTTATTCCTTGGTTACGACATGTGAAAAAAATGGAGGTAGACCAATTCAAAAAAGCGTTAACAGCAACTTATGGCATCACAAAATCGAAGATTTCTGAACATAGAACTTCATACCAGAATGGCCAAACACGAGATATTTTAGATGCATGATGTGAGCTATCAGAGGATTTACCTGATGATGATAGTGACGGTAACATATCAGCCACACTTTTACAATTTCAAATTTGGACATTGCAAGGTGCCGGGTTTGAAACAACAAATCGCCTGTTACTTTTCATCATCTTATATCTGACTAAATATCCAGACATACAGGAGCGTGCACAGAAAGAGATTGATCAAGAATTAGGAAGCAACAGGAATATTTCTGAAAAAGATCAGGCGAGCCTTCCGTACGTAATGGCAACTATCCTTGAAGTTATGAGAAAAGCATCAATAACTCCATTCACTCTATCCCATTTTACACTGCATGACACAAAACTGCGAGAGTATGACATCAACAAAGGCACAGTTGTCTTTTTTAACTATCATTCAGTAGCAAACGAAGAGTCATATTGGGGTGATCCGGAAATCTTTAGACCCGAAAGACTTCTTGATGATTCTGATAAGTTAAACAAGAAGAAAGCCTCGCATATTCTTTTATCCACATTTGTAACGGGACGGCGACAATGTCTCGGTGAGGCATTAGCAAAAATGAACATTTTCATTGTAATTTCAACTTTGCTACAGCGCTGTTCATTTCAGAAACCTGACGGATGTGACCTTGATCTTGAACCCATTAGAGGTCTTATTCTGTCGCCAAAACCATTCAAAGTTATTGTGAAAAAAATATTCTAGACGAAACTTCTATTCCTGTGATGTTTATAAATCTTTAATCTAATGAAGACAATAAGATGAAGCATTAACAAATTTGGACACAAAAGAAACAGATAAATATATCATTGATATTAAGTTTGACTGCTCCTAAAAAAATTGGACTTGGTCAATGGAGTATCATGATTATTTCATAACACTACTTAAAGCGGCCTTCGTCATTTATTTACCTTTGGAAAAAACTGTTCTGTTTTGTTTCAAACTAAATGATTAAGTAATTTTATCTTTGAAAAGTGCATCACATCACTGTTAACCCTTCTTTATCGTACCGAAAGCTTTTTATAACGCGTCAGTGACGTTCGTTTGTCACAAAGAGCGTTCCGGTAGAGTAGGGGTATCAAGGGGATTTTCTTATTGTTTATGTACTTTATTTTCATATATGAAAAGTTTTATCTAAACATAACATATTTAATCTTTAGAAAAGCTGAGACTGAGGCCGCTTTCGCCTTTGAACGTATATATTCACTATAATTATAACTGAGCTTATTTGCCGCTTATAATTAACTTTGTATATCATTACTGCAATTTCTGCATAAAACATTTTTTGAGACCCTTCAGTTGGTCTGTTAGGATCAGGAAAGGAATTGACTATATTTTCACGAAGAATATATTATCAATATTTTCATTTACAATATCTTATCAATGTATCTATGAACCTGTTCAAAAAGGGTTTAATAATGATTCAACATCTTGAATGCTTGATTCTGATGACATACATCTTTTATTCTCTAACATTACATCATGTTATTTTAAAGTTCTATTTATCACCATGTCTGCATCTTTGTTTGTTCTTAAAGATATCAATTTTTAATGTTTCTCAAATAATTCTTTTTTTTTTTTGGTAATATGTTTCATCAATAATAAGCAACATCTCGCTCTTTTAACAGTACGCCATATATCGTCATCTACTGTAGATATTATTAATATGCCAACCTTAATCATGAGTTCTGAAACATGCCTTAATGATTATGTAACTATACGTTTCATGGTCTTACTAATTTCTGAATCTATTTACTTTGTTCGTACATAATCCTGGTCATATGTCACATTTTGATAATAAACATTCTAAAGTTTTGAATTAGTTGCCTGTTTAAAAAAGAGTGGAACTGTAATGTCGTTAGTTTAATAAAACTTCGGTGATGCAGCTGAATATATTAGGTAAAAACTATATTCATATGAGACAAGATCAAGTAAAAGTTGATTCTATATTTTCCAAAGTGTAAAATGTAATGGCGAAAAAACAATTGTATATCATGGCTGTTATAAAACTTTTTACTGTCAAAGTTGTCAGTCAAAAGCCATTTTGTTAATATGTAATTAATATCTTACTTTCAACTTTAAACATATGGTTTTATAGCTTTTATGAACACTATTTTCTGACATAATTTTGGACTGTGATATTTTATTTCACACACCAATATCTTCAGTACCTAAAGGCAACAATGGATGTAAGTGATTTAGTTCTTTATTTGTTTTATCTTAGGTTATATGTGATAGGTCTGGTTTCATTTCTCATATGTTTCTTTTGAGTGTTTTATCACTGGTTTATCATGTTTAAGATATGTATTACAACGTTATTGCATAATACTGAAATAAATGTTACTCTCCTAAATATTAAATTCAAATTACTTTCTGAATATTTTTACTATGATACACTACTTTAACGGGATATCATTTAATTAGGAGTTAAGTTGGTGCCGAATCAATTAATTAAATTAAAAAAAAAATAAAAACCGAAATAATTCAATTGGTCAAAATGAGATTTCAACCTCTACACATCATAAAGACACTATATCTGTGCTAGAATAAATAAATATAAATATACTCATAATATTTAAATAAATATTAAGCAGCAGAAATAATAGTGTGTTTTCACTCTTTGTCAATGGCGTGGTGTACAAACTGTAATGTAGCCCATTACTCAAACATTTACATAAGTAGTTGTTTGTCTGTTAAATTTGGTTTTACGTCACACCGACATAGTATAGATCATATGCCAAGACGTTCCAGCTTTAATGGTGGAGAAAGACCTCAGGTGCCCTTCAGTGTACCATTTCAGTCACGAACGTGTACCTGACTAAACCACCGACGTTCCATATGCTAGCTGGATAGCTTCTGCACATGAAAGAATCCAAACTCCCTGTCGGGATTCAAACCAACAGCGGTGAGGGGCAAGTGGTTTGAAGTCAACGACCTTAACCACTCGGCCACGGACGCCCCTTAATAAGTAGCAACATGGTTCTTGGAATACTGTATATCATAACAAGACACAGTTGCAAGACATGGGGAAAGCTGTATCTTTGAGGCATCCCCTTTGCAACTAATAATTGACCATAGTACTTGATTGTCATTACTATGCGCAATTGGAAGGCAAGAAAAGTCATATTGAAAGCAGTATGTTACGTGAGTCTGTTCATCTTGCATTACATTTTTCAGAGGCATTTTCTAATTTTCTTCCAATTTCAAGTTATATTTGCGATATTTTAATTTCTGTCTCTTAAATGGCAAGAAAAACAACCTAAATAAAAAATACTATACCCTTTTTTTTAAATTTGAAACACGATTTGTAAAGAGTACTAAATGAAATCAGCTCTTTCTGGTTCTAGGATTTTGTTTCCGTCCGATTATCCAACGATAAATTGTAGGTTTAGACCCAATACCGCTTTCAGCATTTACCTCATTTTGCAAGTAAATATGGTTTAAAATAAGAGGTGTTCGGATCGACCGTTGAAAGTGCGGGTAAAATTTGGAGTAAAATGCACTTCGTCTAAGCTAAATTACGCAGTTGTAAAAATGGGTGGTATACAATTACCAAGATAAAATTTCACTGACTAGGTTATGCATTTAATTGATAGCTTTTTGTTTATTGTAATTTACTCTGCATTAGTTTTCAGACTTAAAGTGAATTGGTCTTTACCAACTACAGGCTGCTAGGCTGCCATCTTCAGGCTGCCAAGTTAAGGATAATCTTTAATTGAAGGTCTTAAATACCATAACAAATTTGTTTGATAGTATTTGATATCATAGATAAAAACAAACCTCGAACAAAGTACATAATTGGACGTCGTTGGCAAGTGAAAGATACATGATCCGATATGTTTATAATTAGCAAACAATTTTTTTTTAGAACACATTATCATAATTCATCATATACAAGTATATATTCATACTTAATCCCTTTAGAACTATATCAAAAATTCATTTTCCAAAAATATTTCATAAGAATAATTTGGATAACATTTCTATTGTTTATGGAATACTTATGAAAAATGTGCCTATTGTAGACTGTCAGAATAATCATACAGTTTCACTGTAGATAGTTTTTTTTTACTACGAGCCAGCGATACACTGAAGTGTATCAGATTTCAATGTACAGTTTCATTTATAAACCTGTTGCTGGAAGTATAAAATATATCTACATGTAAAGATCAAATCGTTTAAGCTAACAAATATGTATGGGTAAGAGTTTGTATTTAGACGACCGTAGGGAGTCTTATCGAACTCTTAAAGGCCGTGTCTACACCTATTCAAGTTGCTTACATGTCACATTTAGATAAGCTAAATAAATGGCCCTTTCAACATTTTTTCAGGCACAATTTTTTCTGAAATGTCTCATTAAGATAGCCCAGGATTTATACCTTTGTCTTTGTTTCGGTAAAATATGTGAAAAAAAGCGGGAAAATGATGCAATTAGCTAAAACAGAATGGAGTAAATGAAATGCGTTCATTCTTTTTTAAAATTGAAAAAAATGTGACAAAAATTTATTTTGATGCAAATTTTTTATTCGATGAAAGTTATTCACTAAATGAACAAGATCATTTTAATTAAATCCATTTTGACTCTACTTGAAAAAGAGCTCTTTTTCATTTTTTTACAATGTATTTATTTATTTTTTTTTTTTTGCTCTTCTGTGTATCAGCGTATTGATTTGTTCCTTTTACCAAGACATTGTAATCATTTACTGAAATTCAAAGGGCAAGTACACTGAATCAACAACAAAAAGTCAGAAAATAATAAAAATAACAGCACTATCAAACCTTCGGGCACATGTTTTGTGTCAAACTGGTGTTATCAGTGTCTTGACAGCCAAAAACTTGTAGAAAAATAGGACGTGTTCTAACTTTCTTGCAAGGAATTATCTTCTTGAATGTCACATAATTTCTCTTTAAAACTCATTCAAGTAGGGTGTCTACACTATCCAATACAAGAGAATATGATACTTGCATTCAAGACTTGGATAGGTGTAGACGGGCTCTTACAACATATAACTGCAAATCGGCTCTTACAACTCGATATCAGATAAAAATATAGAAAGTGTCACTTCTTTAATTAAGCATAACATTATTTTCCCCCAGCAGTCACGTACAAACAAGGATGGGGTCCAATTACTAATCTGGCATGTAAAACAATGAATTTTCAACAATACCTCGGATTGTTAATGCAATTCATTCCTGTCATATGAAACAAATAATTTTTAATTATGTTTAACTAAACAATGACATGCTAGTTTTCCAACTGAGAATATTTCAATCTTATGTCAGGCGGTACTGCCCAGCCCCCATATCTTGGAAATTGGTTCTAGTATTTATTACTAAACCTTTCCTTAGATTAAATAACATCAAGGCAGAGATTTCTCCTGACATAGACCAATCAACTTTAAACCATAAGTGAAAGAAAGAGCATCGAAACGATTGCCGAGTGTTTTGATGTTCTTTCTCTATTGTATCATAGTCAAAAATAAAAATACGTTCCCTGATGTCACAATATGAAACCACAGAAAAAAGTAACCAATGAACGAGCATCTGAATAGCATATTTCCATCGCTATCCTTTTCTCTGTCGTCACAATATGTAAACCCCCAATCAATGGGTATGCTCTGCAGTGCGGGTAACTAATTCCTGCTCTCAAGTTAACACACTGTGTATGTATATGTGTACGATTTAACTCTGACAAATTTTCAACAGAAAGGTCCCCAAACTATGATACAACACTTTTATACTGGTCTCAGTTTTCATTTTTGTCCTTCAGGTTATATAAATATCTTTACCTAGTTATAACTGTAACTCTCAGGTAACATAAAAGTCTTTAGAGTTAATTTCGTGCACTTGAATGTCGGAAGTTAACTGACTCCTGGGAAGTAATTACGAAACTACAACACTTGAATGCATTAGGTTTTTTTTATCTTCAATATGCAGCACACTTATTGCACAATTTCATCGTTAAAATATCGTCACTTTAAACAATCTGAGACAAATTCTTTGAAGTCAATATTTCCACGTAAGTTATATAGGTTTGACATAGAAAAGCATACATAATAATGTTAGGAGCTGTTGCATTGTCAGTGATAAGCTAAATCTTTCCCGAAATACATGCACGTCGATGAGAGATTTGAAGATCTCAGGCCGCTGCGGCGAAATCAAAAGACTGAAACGAATATCCTGCAAACCATCTGCCGATGCTCGGACTGAAACCGAAGGAAGTTGGCTCTTCAAACTAGGCAGCGTTGACATGGAAGGATACTTATTAAGTGCGTTAGCCCCTAGTACAAAGTGAGGGCTTGAAAAGCATGTGCTTTGGCAACAGTTCTTATAAGGGCTACCCACTTTGTTATTGCCAGAAGATACTGTACGTCCTCGGTCTTATTGGCCGCTATACAGTGTTCAAAGATAATAATCTAGGTGAATTGTCACTATTTAAATACTTCGAAGTTACACTAATGTTGACTTGTCCGGGGTCGAAAGTTTTCAACTGATCAATATTTCGTTACAATGTCTTTGTAGTTATTGCATATGAAATATTAAACACAAAAGATATACAAATATCAAAATGGGTTAGTCAGTTAGTTATTAAGCCTTTCAAAGGAGGAAAATCTAAAACTATTACTTTGAAAATCTAAACGGTTTTGTTTTTTTTTACAAAATAATGTTACAATATCATAACATTGCATAAGGCTACATATTACACTAAAATTACATGTATGTGAATTTTTCAGCATTTAAAAAGTAATACCAAAAAATTATTTAACGTTTTATAAACACCATAATTAACTCAGTAGGCACTATGTTTTTGTATGAATTTCAAAGAAAAAAACCCACGAAACAACAACAACAAAGCAAAAAAACAAAAAACAAAAAAAAAACTTATCATAATTTTGAGGTGTATATAGAGGATATTTGTTTGTTTGTGTGTAAGATGAAATTTTATTTCATCGAGTGAGCTTTAAAAACAGTATTCTCACGAGTGGCGTAGCCACGAGTGAGAATACTGTTTTTAAAGTTCACGAGATGAAATAAAATTACATCTTACACAACAAACAGACAAATTTTCTTTTTATTTTATGCTTAAAAACAAGTTAAAACGAAATTTCCATAATGTTAACGTTAATATTAAAATCTGTTTCCCCCATTGAGAGCCCCTTTTAGACGGAATTTCTCATTTAAAACATGAAGTCTTGAGCTGAAAAATAAGTCCGCCAATCAAGGTTAAATGACGGTGATATTTATTCATTTTATTAAAAAAATATGAATGACCGCTTGTTTTAATAATAAAAACAAACAATTCTTGCAGGAGAAAATTCCAACCATCCATCCATATTTCTGTTACTTACTGCGAATTTATATTAGACCTGGCTTTCTAAAATGTAAACGGCAGCCAGTTTTTAAAGTTGTGTATTTCATGGGAGGAAAATAATTGTGTAAGATTCAGAAGGATATAATTTGGATGTGTTAGTCATACACCTTTTTAAAAGAAAGAAAACTTATTTAAGGATTGTAACAGACAAAAAATAAGTGTTGACAGATGTGAAAACATTCAGAAAAGGAGCTAGGAAAATGGAAAACTTGGAAGCTTGCTGAAGGAACGCTGGGTTGTTTTACTTATTTTACGAGTGATGGCTGTCAATGCTTTTCAATTTTTCATAAAGCATACGGCAGTTATTGTTCGTAGGATACTTTAATATGCCCAAATGTCATCAAGAGCAGTTTTGCATGGGGAAGGAATGTATTTTTCAGACTGTAAAAACGAAACAAAAAAAATTTAGAGACGAAATTTGGTGATTGGAATTTGAAGGAATAGAAGTAAGTTTTCTCTCTGTGTTACTTTTGACATTTAAGTTATTTATCTATTTCAGCTTTGCTATTTCTTTTAACAGCCTGACATTGTCAGAATTGTCCGTAAAAATAAAATTGAGGTACCACATGGGGAAAATCTTAAAAAAGTAGTTTCGTCATTGAAAAAAGTGAAATTATATTTTGATAATTTTCACTGTGAAATTATCAAATATAATTTTCACGGATAAATCAGTAATCCACTGAAAAGCATTAAATAAAAAGCTATATATCTGTTGCACACATTTTGTATATTGAATTTTTTTTCTTATAAAATTAATTTATTGTATATTTCCTTTAGAAAAAATGCGCATAAATGAAGAGATTGATGAACGGTTCAATCTCTACGTAAAATAGAAGTATAGAACATTTTATTCTGTTTACGTTTAATATCTTTATGTGTAAGATAACAAAAACAATCTATGTTACAATTATTTCGAGAATCAGCCATACTAATATAGGCGCAACATAATTTTACTGTTTATAAGGTTTATTGAAATATTTCATAAGATATACCTTTATACGCTTTAAATATATACGCATTATACAAATTGTAACTGGTAAAATAATGTACACTGACATAATAAGCGGTTGGTTGAATAAGATAAATTTACCGTGCATGCAACATATTTAACTGCGCATTTTCACGAATAATGGACAGAAAAACTTATAGGAATGTGATATTTGTCACAATCATTTTATTTCATATGAAGTCACCGACCATGAAACTTCCGCTTTACCTTTTGTTGGATCATGTGCAATGAAATTGTAATGTGAAACAAATTGGTTATAAATATAGTGAAAAAGACAACATGTTTGTATGTCATTTGCTATGATTCGGATTTATAAGAAAATTTGAAAGTTTAGATAGTGAGACAGTAATACCAATGGATGTTTCTCTTACATTGAGTGGTATTGTACTGACTTTGATAACATTACTTGTGTTGTCATGGTGGACAAAATGTTTCAGTAAAAAACGGTATCCACCTGGACCATGGGGCTTCCCTATACTAGGACACCTGCCTTTATTAGGAGAAAAACCGGAGTTAAAGTATTTGCAGTGGCGGCGAAAGTACGGAGATATTTTTCCTATACGCTTTGGTAGTTGGGAAACAATAATTGTTAATGGATATGAAGCTATCAAAGATGCCGCGGAACGAAAAGACGATGCCTTTTCCGGAAGACCCGAATTCGTTTCACAAATTGCTATCAAAGAGCAATTCGATGGTTAAATTTTACTATTTCATGTTTAAATGTTGAATTCTGCTTAAGCCGGTGCTAGGGGGCGTGGACGGTAACTTGCACTTTCCAGTACCGTCCATGAACAGGCTCAATCAAACCGAGCCTGCAACATTTTCAATTTTGCCGTGTTGGGCTTTCTTTAGGGAATCTGTATTTATCTATTTTAGAAGCCATTAGTTTTTGTAACTATTCTCCGACGTATCTTCAAGTCAGAAAACGGACAACAACGGCCTTACGAACATATATCAATAAGTGCGATTATCCTCCGAATGAACTGTTTCGGGAAGAAGCTGAAAAATTAACAGAAAAACTATTAAGATATGCATGTGATGAGCCCGTATCTTTAGATTTAGATATTCAGTTGGCTGTAATAGGTACGTTGTATCAGATGCTTTACGGCAGAGGAAAAGAAGATGAAATAAAACCACACTTGAACTTAATCATTGAATCATCGGACACGTTTACTAAATTTGTCGAGTCTGGAAATTTAGTTGATGTTATTCCTTGGTTAAGGCATGTGAAAAAAATGGAGGTGGACCAATTCAAAAAAGCGATAACAGCAACTTATGGCATCACAAAATCGAAGATTTCTGAACATGGAACTTCATACCAGAAGGGGCAAACAAGGGATATTTTAGATGTATTATGTGAGCTATCAGAGGATTTACCCGATCATGACAGCAACGGTAAGACATCAGCCACACTTTTACAATTTCAAATTTCGACATTGCAAGGTGCCGGGTTTGAAACAACAAGTCGCCTGTTACTGTTCATCATCTTATATCTGACTAAATATCCAGACATACAGGAGCGTGCCCATAAAGAGATTGATCAAGAATTAGGAAGTAACAGGAATATTTCTGAAAAAGATCAGGCGAACCTTCCGTACGTAATGGCAACTATCCTTGAAGTTATGAGAAAAGCATCAATAACTCCATTCGCACTACCCCATTTTACACTGCATGACACAAAAGTGCGAGAGTATGACATCGACAAAGGCACAGTTGTCTTTTTTAACTATCATTCAGTAGCAAACGAAGTGTCATATTGGGGTGATCCGGAAATCTTTAGACCTGAAAGACTTCTTGATAATTCAGGTAAACTGGACAGGGAAAAAACCTCGTATATCCTTCTTTCCACATTTGGCACGGGACGGCGTCAATGTCTCGGTGAGGCTTTAGCAAAAATGAACATTTTCATTGTAATTTCAACTTTGCTACAGCGCTGTTCATTTCAGAAACCTGACGGATGTGACCTTGATCTTGAACCCATTAGAGGTCTTATTCTGTCGCCAAAACCATTCAAAGTCATTGTGAAAAGAAGATTCTAGACGAAACTTCTATTCCTGTGATGTTAATAAATCTTTAAACTAATGAAGACAATAAGATGGTGCATTAACAAATTTGGACAGAAAAGGAACAGATAAATATATCATCGATATTAAGTTTGACTGATCCTAAAAAAAATGGACATGGTCAATGGAGTATGTTGATTATTTCATAATACTACTTAAAGCGGCCTTCGTCTTTCATTTACTTTTGGAAAATCAGTTCTGTGTTGTTTCAAACTATGTAATTCAGTAATTTTTTGTTGGAAAAGTGCATCACATCACTGTTAACCATTCTTTATCGTACCGAAAGCTTTTTATAACGCGTCAGTGACGTTCGTTTCTAACAATAGATTGTCACAAAGAGCAATTAATATCAAACTTTCACAATGTCATATTTGTTTTCAATACTGATGCGAATATGTATCATTACTCTATTTTTGTATATATTTATCATTTGACAGTTAAAAAATTCTTGTAAATCAGAATTTACATCGTGTAAGATCAAACCGTACGCGCATCGCCACAGCGCATGTTGTTTACAACGTGGGGTACCCAACGGGAAAATTGAGTGTGTATATTACCCGTCTGGCTCGGTAATATCAATTTCTTTCGGGTGATCAATAGCCAATCAAAAAGGCGGAAAAAATCTGGAAGGGGAATAATATATAAATAACACATGGGTTTGTGGGTAACAGTAAAAATATCATACCGAGGAAAATACTGTTACCCGAGGCGTATTATTTTATTACCAAGAACAAAAATACTGTGATGATCTGAAATTGTCAACTAAATCTAACTGTAACAAAAATAAACCAAGAGTAACAATAACTAAACTGTCCTTACTTTTTAAGATTTAAGTGTACATTCGGCCTACTTGAGAAGTTTTCTTTTTCTTTTATTCTTTATGTAAGTGATGATATCTACAAATCATAAACATACAATAAGCTAGGTTTTATTTAGAAAACAAAACACTAACCCATTTACACGGTCATGATCTGTGAGATCTGACCCTTCTGCAGAATATTCTTAGCATGGTTTTTGACAAAATAACGATGATATTCTATGTCTGTCCACCATATCTATAACGTTTCACTGATTAAAATTGTTAAATAATCCTTTGTTGCATGCTTAAATCGTATGCATGTTCCAGTTTGACACATTATTATTTACATTGCAAGTACTTTCGTTGAAAACGGATGTTCACTTTTTGACTATTCAACAAAAATATATTTTATACACGAAAAGCACACCAGGGTGCGAACAACTAAATTTTATGGGTGTCATAGTTACTCCAGAAAAGAAATTGATGTCCTATCGGGGTTTAACGTCGAAAATAAGAATGAATCGAGAAAAAAATGGCGGCCATTTTATTTCATTTTATTTAGAAAATAGACCACGTGACCAGATTTTATACTATTAAAAAATACTGTTACCTATGTAACAGTACAAAATTCTTAGTTACGTGGTACACTTGCATTAACAGTAAAAATAACTCCCAGAGGCCTATGAGAAATTAGCGTTACGAAAAAAGTAAGGGGTAATAATACATTATGTGCTTTTAAAGTTCTATTTATCACCATATCTGCATCTTTGTTGTTTTTTCTTAAAGATATAAAGCTATTTTTGAATACTTCTCTAATAATAATAATAATAATAATAATAATAATAATAATAATAATAATAATAATAATAATAGTAATAATAATAATAATTATTATTGTTATTATTATTATTATTATTATTGGTAATATGTTTTATCAATAATTAGCAACCCCTCGCCCTTTTTCACAGTTTGTCGTATATCGTCATCTACTGTAGATATTATTAGTGGGCCAACCTCCATCTAGAGATCATATTTTGAGAATAAACACTCTAAAGTTTTTATTCTAAAGCACTATTAAGTGTTGAGACTTGAGTACAGCTCAAGCTGGTGCTAGAGGGGGTGAGGGATTATAGATGTTGCACTTATTTATTATCCCTCATGTACAGACTCAATCAGACCGCGTCTGCAATTTTCATGTTATTCTGTTGTGATAATGAGCTGCCTGTTTAAAAAAGAGTGCAACAATATGTTATGTCGTTAAAATTATAAAAGTTCGGTGTTGCAGCTGAATATATAGGTAAACGGCAATATTCATTCATGTGAGACAAGATCATGTAAAAGTTTATTCAATATTTTTTCCGAAGTGTAAAATATAATGGCGCAAAATCCTTTGTATATAATGGCCATTATAAAACTTTATGCTGTCAAAATTGTCAATCAAAAGTCATTTTGTTAATATGCAATTATCTTATATTCCACTTCACACAGATCTTTTATAGTTTTTTATGTAAAGTGTTGTGCGTCTTAGTTTTTGACTGTGAGGTATTTTATTTCACGCACCAATGCCACTATCAGTAGTACCTAAAGCCAAGAATGGAAATAAGTGATTAATTCTGTATTTTATGTTATCCTTTGTTAAATGTATTTGATCTGGTTTCATTTCTCATACATTTTTTACCTTGTTATTGTTTTATTTACTTTTTTATTGTTTTATTACGTTTTTATCATGCTTAAGATATGTATTACCACGTTATTGCATAATACTGAAATAAATACATCTATCTCACATACCTTGTTGGTGACTGAAATTAGTTTCTGAATAAATTGTGAAACAGTTACTGTTGAAGATATTTGACTCGTAAGTATGATAATATATATTTATATTATTGGTTATACGTTTTACTTGTTTTCACAAAGCCTATAATATATGGATAATGTATCAGTAATTATCTGTGCATTAAAAATTCAAAGAACTTTGGTTTTAATCAATTATTGTTTAGCCTTAAATTTCCTGTTAAGTTGAAAATAATGACGAAATTAATATGATCTTATAATCTTTATTAGTTCCGTTTCTTTTTAAGTCTTCACAGAGCAAAAGGCAAACTACATGAAAAGTAACATATTATATTAGATATTTTTATATAATAATCAAATACGCTTGGTACAGAGTAAATGCAATTAGCTCTTCCCTTTTCTGCCAGATTATCCAACGATTTCACTTGATCTGAAAAAAGGAATGGTAATGAAACAGCTTCTATTTTCATTTTTCTATTCACGGTTGTTGTGTTTAGTTTTTACGCCGATTTCAAAACACTTCGGTAATATCTCGACGGCCGGACCACCTAACCGGCATTCCTGGATAACTCACAAGTAAATAACATTTTCACTGCAGGTGAACGTGCTAAATTTCAATGATTAATGTTTGATGTATAATGTTTCGTATTTTTATGCTCAGTTTTTGTTTCATTCAAAAAGTTACGATAAATGGGACACAATGGAGCATCTTATTAATTACCATCAAGTCAACCATATACAGATATTATCATTTCATATACAATGTATTTGATTCTAGAACTTTATGCCAGTAATATGCTATAACCATAAATCTATCAGTTATCTATTCTAAAAGAATGAAGCCACTCACATAAAACTTTGTAATAAACGTAATTGAGGTCACACAAAACGCCTAAGTGTACATGTATGTGTATTTAAAATGAATCTCCTTTACCAGACACTATTTTAGGAGATGTGATATAGGTAGGAATTGACAACGAAGGGCGCGTTATTGTTACAAAAATAAAAAGGTACGAAACAGAACAATACATTTACTCATTATTTGGCCT